TCCTGTTGTTCAGCCATAAAAATATTATATTGGTCGAAAAAGAACTCAGACTGATATTTTCTGGATATAAAAGAAAGTGGATAATCACTGTCAATCAAGTCAATCTCGTAAATCAAAATTCAGCTTTTTCTTCCTTGCTCTAGGACCAAATCAATAGTTTCGTGGGTTGATGAACATAGAACGAGTTCTATCTCTGCAGAGTAGTGAAAAGGAGAGTGAATTACGTGGTATGCCCAGAATTATAAACGACCACGAAGTGCGAAGCCTTTTAAATTGATACTTTGAGAAGTCTCGAGAGAAGTGCTGTTGGATTCGATGAGTCTAGCAAGGATTTCAAGTGTTTCAAGGCATGAAGCAATATTTGGTCTGAAGATTATTGAAACAGATGAAGTATTTTCTCAGAATTCAAGAGTTCTATGACATCCCGAAGTGATAATCATCGCAAAGCGATATCTCCGAAAAATAGTCGTATAAAGCCTATCAGACTCTTGAATACAATGAAGGATTCCAACTTTTACAAGACATTCAACTGTGTTTGGTGTTTAGAATGATAAGGCGCGTAGTGTATTCCAGCTGGTTACAACTATTGGACAAGATCTCGAAGTTGGAAGTACCGAGTTTCGTATGTTCGGGAAAATGACTTACAGAGATTCTAAGTAGTCAGAACTGGAGGAGAGATATCAATGGCTTATCTAGGGAATAAGGAATATCATTGTCGGTTCTATAGGATGATGATGATTTGGAAAGTTCTAGCAGCATGAACTTTTGGAAAGTTAGATAGATGAAAACCTCATCTGTGTCCTGTCGGAATCGATGACAGAATCGACGGTGCGGAGGTTTCTAGGGCATCGAGTTGTGTGTTTTCTTGAGCAAAATTAAGTGCATGTTGCATCAAGTTTGTTTTCAAGGAATGAGTGAGATCAAACATTTAGAAGACTTGGATATCATGACTCGACGATGAGTGCTTTAAGGATTCCTCTTAAGCAGTTGCAGATTAGTCGTTAGGAAGTGTTGTAGAGTGGAAAGATTGTTTTATTTGCAAAATTTCGATAATAATGTTCCATATTCTTATTTGAGAAGGTTTTCTTGAAATTAGATCACGTGAAAGTTGAAAGTTTGTGGAAAAGGTTTATCGCGTTCTGTACATCTTTATACTATGTCTTATTCTGTTGGTCTTAAATTTTCGAAAACTTCAAAAAGTTTTGAATCATTGTGGTCAATCTATTTTTATGAATGGTGTATATGTGTTCTTCAGAAGAATCGCCTTGAAAGAAGGGTGTGGGTGTGATTGTGGGTTTAAAATTTTACCATTTCAATAATCATCATGAGATACGATCTTTATAATGATTAGTTTTCCCGCCGGATTGTCATTATATAAGGTAAGTATGATCATCGACTTTATCAACAATTATAACTATACTTTGACTAGTATTTGTGAAAACTTAATTAAAGATTGAATGTCTTAATGTACAGAAAAGAAGGAAGGAATTCCCGTACCTTTGCCAGTGTAGGGTGAAGATCAAGAAATATATGTAAAAAGAAGGAAAAGATCAAAATGATGATTAATTTTATATATATACATATTTTTTTAAATTTATTTATTTGGTCATTATTTGAATACTAAAAACACACATACAAATAGAGAAAACCCAGGAAGAAAAGTTCAGTTTGCTGTACTTTTTAGGTCGAAAGTCGTAGAAACGTCAATGAAGGAATTGCCCGTCAGAGTGTCTCCTCCACATCTTGAAAATGTGATTTCAGAAACATTCGTCATAAAATCCGATAATTGAAATCTCAGCCTTTCTAGCGGGCATCAAGTTATCTTGTTCATACTAACCTTAATTCATTTCATGATTGTCGTTGATATCTTACCACATGCATGTCTATCTATTTTCACTCCTAATTCATTTTTACAAATACGACTGGAATTGGGACATTCATTCGATTTCTTTGTTTATTGGTGGTGCCATCGTTGAAGTTGGATTTGATTCGGTTGTTACGGTCTTGTGGGTTGCATCTTTAGCACGCCTTCGCAGTGCGCGCTGTCTGTAATCATGAACTGTTTGTTTAATACTGGAGCTGGGCATATGAACGTGTAGGAGTCGGTTGATGACCTGGCGCCATTTGATTCTATCCATGGTATCTCGTCTCCAGTTGATACTATCGGATCTTTCGATGTCAGCTTTTATTTTGTCTTCATATCTTTTTCTAATGCCACGGTGTTGAGGTCGACGGACACCTGGAAAATAAGAGAACATTAGTTTTTTCGATAGCATTGGTTCCTTATTATCTTTATTCATCCTGTTTACATGCCTAAACCATTTCAGCCTATTTCTTCTCATGATAATATCTAATTGTGGCTGATCAGTGAGTTTTAACGTTTTCGTATTTTGATAGTCGATCTACTAGATTTGCTTCAATGATTGTTCGAAGACCTTTCATATAATAGGAATTTAATCGCCACTCTTAAATATTAGTTAAAGCCCAGACGTCAGTTCCATATAACAATATAGGTACTACACATGCTCGAAAGATTCGTAGTTTTGCTTCATACTATATGTTCTTGCGGGTGTGGGTGTAAATTGACGGAAGATTCACACCCACACCCACACCCACACCCACAAAGTAATGCTGACTTTACATCCAAAAAGCACAAATTAAGAGATAGATGATATAAGAACTTTACTATGACAGTCAGTTGATATAAGGAGCAAATATTTGGTTTTGTGATAAGGAAAATGAAGCTTTTTGTTAAGATCTGCTTGATAACTATAAATCAAGTCAATATTTGCATTTTTTAATACACAATCGTTTTACAACTCCTTCTACGTGCGTTTTAGTCATCTACTTTGACTTCAGAGAGTGCCAGAAGACAAACAAAATAATTCAAGATCATTTTGTCTATTTCAAAGTAAGAAAAAACTCGAAGCTGGAACCTTATGTCCTGCACTTTCGAAAAGTGTTATTTGTAGTTATAATTACAGCACTTCCAATTTATAGAAACAGTTGATAGATTTCATCAGGTAGTGAATGTTCAGCATAAATATATATTAACAAATGTATTAGTACGTCCCAAAAAGTTCACCTGTATTGAGATGTATATCTGCAGTAGTATGCAAATAAATTGCTGTGAGACTTCTTCAGATTCCTAGTAGTTGAAGTGAAAAATATTAAAACTTTCCTATTGATGTATTGAACATATAGTGTTCTCCACAACTGTAACAACGCATAAAAGTACGTTTCATTTTCGAGCCCGATGATTGTCAAAATACATTAGCTTCTTTAAAATTGGTAGAATTTCCTAGGGTTATTTGCCCTTCTAATTGTAGACTATGCTATGCATATAATGTATCAATAAAAATTTTTTATATTCATCACTTACGGTAGCAGAAATCTGAAACAAGACTAACGGCAATATTTTTGCACCATGCGGTATAAGCAGACCACTCTGGCAAATTGACTTTCTAAATAGTGTTTCCATAATTGTCTCTTTCTTCTCCCAATTAATCAAAATTATGTGTAATCAGCTATCATCGGTTGACTTCTTGTGATGTGAGATCTCATGCTTGATCAACAGCTACTTTAGTTTTGCTTGGTTGCTGACAGTGCGGTTTTGACAAATTACTTGAGCGAGGACTATATGTACTCAAGAACTATTCGATCTTTCTGGTTTATGTCATTGCATCAGCACTATCTACAGATTTGATTAATCATGTAGTAGCAAAGACTTTCTGCTTATTGTGAATAATTTCTGTCGCGTATTTTTTATACATTGCGCAAGTTAAAGAAAAGATAGACAGACTAAACATGACTATCGCAATATTTACTTCGAAAAAAAAAGAGGAAAAGAAAGTAAGAATCTTAGGAAGATGAAACAGAGAAAGAAGTATTGAGTAACACATGCTATGATATTTCTTTATTTATCCTTACAGTTGTATTTTTCTAAAATTTTTATCATATAAACAAAAAGAAATTAGTGAAAAATAATAAAAAGCAGACTATAGTCAACCTAAAGTAGCGTCGAATTGAATAACTGATGTGAATTTATTTTGGTGGCGCATCTTATAACAGGTACGCCTTTAAAGATATTTTGTAAAACTTTTGATATACGATTATGTTGTTCATTGTCTTTGCAGATCAAAATGACTTCTAAAGATGCCATCGAAGGCGGCAAGAACCGACTGAAACGTATTACTGATGTTCAATATGAACCGGGAAAATTGTTTATGCCAATCGAAGGTTACGAAAAGATGAAACTCGGCTCTCTAGAAGAAGCTATCGAATTTCTAGCTGCCATTGTTCCAGATCTTCGACGCAAAGCTTATATTGCTAAACAAAGATGCCAAGAGCCAAAAGATGGACTAACACCTGACGAATCAGCAAGCATATTTCTGTATACTATGGAATAGGATCCTGATTGTGTTTATTCCCTCCTCAATCGAGCGTTACGCAGTGAAAAACGTCAAGCTCTACGACCATGGTTCGCCTATCTGAAACTATTGTTGAGTGCTCTGTGGAAACTGCCTTCACAAAAACTCGTTGTTTATCGTGGAGTTAAATTGGATTTAAGTGTCGAGTATCCGATTGGTAACATAATAATCTGGTGGGGTTTTTCTAGCACAACACAGTCAATACAAGTTTTGGAATCTGAACAATTTCTCGGCAAAACTGGAATACGTACTCTCTTCAACATCCAATGTTCAAATGCGAAGATCATCAAAAATCATTCTTACTATGCAGCTGAAGATGAGGCACTCTTGCTTCCCGCGACACAACTTGAAGTAACTGGTAAATTAGATTCTGGAAATGGGCTTCATATTATTACAATGAAAGAAACTCAACCGGTGTTTCCTCTATTAGAGCCTCCATATCTGTTGTCGGAAACAAAGAAGAAATCGAAGGCTACTCCAGGTGATTCAAAAAAGGGAGGATCTAAGTTTGAAGAAATGACTATGCCAGATGTCGATATTCGCCATGTTATCAATAACATGAAAGGTAGTGACAGATGGAACTTCAAAGATAAACAAGTCACGGCTGAAGACGTAAAGTTAATTGCAAATGAATTAAAAACCGATAAAAACTGTAGAGAACTTGATTTGAGTAAGAATGGTTTAACTTCAGCTGCTGTGCATTACTTATCTGGTATGCTAAAAGAGAACACGACATTGGAAAAACTTTATCTTGGAAAGAATCAAATCGGTGATGATAGAGTACGGGCACTGTGCGGAGTACTGAAAGTGCATGGAAACAATACACTCGAAGTGTTAAGTCTCGAATGCAATCGAATAACAGACAGAAGTGTTCCTGGGATTATTGAATTACTTAATCAACCGAATTTAATACTGAATGCTTTGTTTATACATTCAAATCGTTTATCGGAAGAAAGTAAACAAACACTGACTGTTCTAGCTAAAACACGAAATATTTGGATTCGATTAGACGAATGAGAACTAATATATTGATCTTTTTTGTTCGCAAGTTTATTTTTCTAAAAAAAATAAATCGAGCTTCTAGCTACTGTTGTTAAATATAAACAGTTATCGCTGTTCGTCGCTTCAATTCTTTTTGTTTTTCGGTATGCTTTCAAAACAAATGAGTTGACAAACACACATGCTAATACGGTTTTGGTACTTGCTGTAAAAGTTGAGTTTTTCTCAAATGATTTCTCAGATAACGATAGTAAGACCATAGATTCAGTGAATCATGAGACATAGATTGGTGTTCTTCAATATGGTCGTTTTTTTATGCAGGCTGTTTGGCAAATTAACTGTCAGTCAAAGGTATTGGTCATATATTTCGTGAGGACATTGTATCAGCAAGTCTAGAGAAAAAAACTTCTTTTGAATGTGTATGTAGGTGTGGTTGTGCTTATATTCTCTCGAATCTAAATCATACCCATTCGCCACATGCACCCACACCCTACAGAATTGCTACTGAATCAAAGTCACACAAATATTCTAAAGTTGGAACTTCTATATTAATGCTTCGAATAAGATGGTGCAATTACATAAGTAATCGATTAAAATCGGTTAGGAGAAAGAAAGCTGGTTGTAATCATAGCAATCATTGGCAATTATCGACAATCATTAGCAATCAATGACAATCTAGGCAATTACAAAATCAGGTTTTTCCCCTTGATCTGAGCGGCATGAAAGAAAACACAGAATAATTCATATATGTGCGTAAATATATGTGATTGGTTGGCGTGCGGGTGTGGGTGTGGGTGGGTGTGGGTGTACGTGTGAGACGTTCGTGAAAGGGTGTGGGTGGGTGTGCGTGTGCGTGTGGGACGTGCGTGAAAGGGTGTGGGTGTGGTACTTCTTTTGACACTCGTCTCACACCCACACCCACACCCACACCCCACTCTTTAAACGAAGGCAATCCGACGAAATCGACTCAAATAATTTTCTATGATTTGTATCCCAGAGTAGATGGGAACGAAGTGCATCTTCAACTCCTTGCAAAATAGACCAATTAATACACGTACTATACTGTAACATGATGCTTCCTTCATGACGATGAGGCAATCCGATTCATTGGGAAATTTCTTTGAAGTATGATATTAATGCATTTTCAGATTCTGGAACACAACCGTGACATATACGTGTTGTTATGTAATTACCATGGGGAATTTTAAAATGCTGACAGGGAAATGTGCTTGTGCACAATACCATGTCGTTTTCGAACAAATTAGCTATGCCATTGAACATTGAATTTATTCTACGAATGATAATTGCATCATGTTTCAACAACTTTCTTAAATATTTCATTTTTCCGTATTCACATGTAATCAATTGTTTGATAATCGAGTCTTGATCAGGACGCTGATTAACGACTATCAGTTTTTTGGAACCATTTTTTGTCTTCTCTGCTAAGTTTGGACCATTTTTTATGAATTGCTTTATGTCACTGATGCATCCTTTTAAAACAGTTCTTTGAAATTCTGACAATTAATTTGCATTATTATTGTGAATTTCATCTTGTTGTTTATTCTGTAATTGTTGGTGAACCATTCTGAAGAAAAAAAGGAGTTTTGCAGAACCCTTCGAAAAGGTTCTGTAGATTTCTAAAAGCCTCCAAATGTGTCCAAAGTCTCAAAAAAAGTATAAAAAATTCTACAGAACCTTTTGAAGGTTCTGCGTTTTACCCACTAGCAGAACCATCTCTTACAGAACCTTTTTTTAGGTTCTGTACAGCAAAAAAAGGTTCCGTGAGAAATACGAAACCTTAAGGGTTCTGTACAACACCTTGAGGGTTCTGTACAAAACCATCAACCGTTGGTTCGAAACCCTAATGGTTTTTATACGGAATCCTTAAGGTTTCGTATTTTCTCACGGAACCTTTTTTTTGCTGTACAGAACCTAAAAAAGGTTCTGTAAGAGATGGTTCTGCTAGTGAGTAAAACGCAGAACCTTCAAAGGGATCTGTAGAATGTTTTATCCTTTTTTTGAGGTTTTGGACACATTTAGAGGCTTTTAGAAATCTACAGAACCTTTTCGAAGGGTTCTGCAAAACTCCTTTTTTTCCAGAGCATAGCCTTGGTAAACATTTTTTTATGGTTCTTACCAAATGATTAGTTTTTTTTGGTGTTGTATTATTGAATTAATCCTTGACAACACTATCAAAACTATCAAGTGGTAGTATTTGATGTAATATGATAACTAAAATGTGACAAGAGGTATTGATTTTCTGAAGGAATGATCTCGTGTTCTTTTTGTTCTGCTCTTGTAATATTATATGCAACTATTCTCTACCAAAGCCTCAGCAAACCTATTAAACATGATAAGAAAATGAGGCAAGATGAATCATTCTCTAGCTCAAGCACATCTCTTTTTTTTTCATTTCTTTTATTCATCATACTGCGGCTTGCTAATCAATGTGACTTTTGAGTTAGTGAAGAAAAAAGAAGTCAAGAGCAAATAATAGCGATAAGAATGAAAAAGAAAGATATTACTGGATTAGTGAGAAGCAATTAGATTTCATAAACGCTCATAGTTATAATAAGAATCGGATCACCTCTCTATGTCCTAGTAACAAGGTTTTAAAAGATATTGTTAATGTTGCGTTATAAAATCATAATTTTAGAGAACAATTTCTTATGTTAACTTACATGAGCTAGATTCTTTTCAGTCGAATAATACAGTGTTTAGTCGTACCATCTCGATCTGATCTCTGAAAGCCATGGTCATGGTCGATCATTTATTCGTCAATTTTTCGGATAGAATCCCGATGGAAGTGCATTTAAAATCTTGAAAATTTGAAGATATTAAATAAAAAAAGGAATCGCGCTCGTTCTATTCCATATCTCAGCTTGCTTTAAGCCTCTTATTATTCTAAATGTTAACTTTACTCTCAAAAGCGAACTTATTCTATGATTACACATGACGTGTTTATGTTGGATAGTTTCCTGATTGATGATGATACTAAAATCATGATAGATTCATGGTTAATACAAACTCCTCTTGTCGAGAAGACTTCAATAGTTACAGTAATTTGATAAAAAACTCGCCTTACACAGCTTCTGTTAAGGTTTTTAGCATAAGGATGTTGATGCACATCACTTTTCGTGATTAGTCTTTGAACTATTTATATAAAACCAAATTATTAAATTAGTCGAATGCATGAAGCTTAATTCAGAATAATCTCGTTTTCGCACCTTCTGTAAGAGAGTTTTTAGTACAGTTCAACACTTTGAGGATTCTATTGCTACATTGATGTAAAGGAGAGGGGTAGCAAGTTAATTTGAGAATAATGATAGAAGTAGATATGCATACTTAAGAGACTAAAACTCTTCATAGCAGGTCTCTCTATTACTTTTTACGTCAAAAAAATGCTGAATCAAGCTTTATTTTGAAGTCGGTTAATGTTTGTTTTTACTGTTTCAATATCAGGATGTGTGAGCGGCAGACATTTTCCCCATATATCTTGTGCCTTTTGATAATACGATAGTGCTTCAAGATAGTCGCCCATCTTTTCCAACAGAATACCAATACCAGTGTACGATTTAGCAAGGTCAGGATGATTTGCAGGCAGTTTCTTTTCTCGAATACCAACTGCTCGATCGTAGAATGAACGTGCCTTGGCGTATTCACCACTATTAGAGTATACCACAGCCATATCATTATAGGAAGTAGCTAAGTCAGGATCATCTGATGCTAAAGTCTTTTCTCTGATTTCGAGTGCTCGGTTATGATGCGATAATGCCTCTGAGAAATCACCCATTTTATTATATATAACCCCCATATTGTTGTACGGATGTGCCAAGTCTCGATGATCGTCAGGTAATGTTGCCCTCATGATCTCGACTGCCTGTTGCTCTGCCGCTAGTGCTTCTGTGTAATTGCCCGTGCAACAATAGACTTCTCCGATATTGTTGTAGCAAGCGCCCAGAAAAGGATGATTTGGAGAGGAAGCATTTCTACTGAGTTCAAGGGCTTGATCATAGTTTGAAAGCGCTTTAGCGTACTCCCCGATTTCACAGTATGCCAGACCAATGTTGAAATATGAGATCGCCAAGTCGAGATCATTTCGAGGAACAGCTGCTGCACGAATCTCGAGCGCTTGTTGATGTGCACTAAGTGCTTTTGCGTACTCGACCACTTTATAATACGCGTAGCCCATATTGAAGTACGTAGTCCCCAAAGCGGAATGATTCGATGGAAGAATATTTTTCTCGATTTCCAACTCTTTCTCATAGTATTCAAGCGCCTTCGAGTAGTTACCAGTAGTATTATATACAAAAGCGATGCTCCTGTAAGAACTAGTCAAGTCTGCTTGACTCGAAGAAGGGTTTATTTTCTTTATGTCAAGTGCCTGTAGATAATGTAAAAGTGTTTCATAGTAGTTACCCAGATTATAAAAGACATTGCCTATATTGTTATGCATAGCTGCTAGATTAGAATGATTTGAAGGAAGAGTCTTTTTGAGAATTTCAAGGCCTTGCTGATAGGATTCAAGTGCTTTGTTATAATCACCTATCTTAAGATGCATCAAACCAATATTATTGTACGAGTCGACTACCTTCAGGTGAGTTGGAGAAAAAGCTATTTTACGAATCTCAAGTGCCTGTTGATGCAATACAAGTGCTTGATGGTAATCACCCATTCTATCATAAATTGAACCCATGTCATTGTAGCAGACGCCCAAATCTGGATGATTAGGTGGAAGAGCTATCTTACGAATTTCCAAGGCTTGCTGATACATCGAAAGTGCCTTTTGATCGTTGTGCATGCTATAATACACAAGACCAATCTGCACGTAAACAGCAGCTACATCAGGGTGGTTTGAAGGAAGGATTGCGTTTAATATTTCAAGAGCGCATTTAAACGATTCCAGCGCTTTGGAGTATTCTCCCATCTTGCCATACACAATCCCGATGTTTTTATACGAAGTAGCGGTATCAGCGTGATTAAGTTGTAAAGCTGCCTTACGAACTTCAAGAGCCTGTTGATGTGACGAAAGTGCGCTTGAGTAATTACCCATGTTATAATATACGATACCTATGTTCGTGTAAGTAGCGGCAAAGTCCGGGTGATTTGACGGAAGTATTGCTTTTAATATTTCCAGTACGGATTCATATGATTCTAGCGATTTAGAGTACTCTCCCATCTTATCGTAAACGATGCCGATGTTTGTATGGAAAAAAGCTACGTCAGGATCGTTTGATGGACGAATACTTTTAAGAATTTCTACACCTTTTTGATATGCTTGTAACGCTTTGGAGTAATCCCCTGTGCAAGAATGTACTAAACCGATTTTTTTATAGGAACCGGCCAAGTAAAGATGATTTGGAGATAATGCTGCTTGATAAAGCTCAAGTGATCCCTGATATGCTGCTAGGGCTTTTGAGTATTCGGGCATTTTAAAGTATACGTCACCAATAGTTTCATAGAAAGCCGGTAAGATCGTATCATTTCGAGGAGTTATTTTTAAAATGTCAACTGCCTGTTCATATGATGTAATTGCTTTAGAATATTCGCCCATTTTATCATATACAGCACCGATATTTGTGTAGGACGCATACAAAGTTGGATCATTCGACGGGAGCATTTTCTCGAAGATTTCTAGCGCTCGTTGATGTGATTCTAGCGCTTCGGAGTAGTTTCCGATACAAGAGTGCATAGAACCAATTTTGCTATAGGATCCACCCAAATGAATATGAGTCGGAGGAAGAGCTATTTTGCGAATTTCGAGGGCTTGTTTGTACGAATCTAGGGCTTTAGAATGGTTGCCCATCTTCTCGTACACAGTACCGATATTCATGTAGATAGCTGCTATTGTAGGATGCTTTGGTGGAAGAGCTTTTATAAAAATTTCAAGCGCTACTTGATCTAATTCTAGTGCTTTAGAGTACTCGCCCATCTCAGAATACTGCGAGCCGATGTTGTTATAGTACATAGCCAAGTCAGGATGATCTGGAGGAAAAATTGCTTTTTTCATTTCAAGGGCCTTTTGATAAAATGAAAGTGCTTTAGAATGTTCACCCATGCTTGAATATAATGCCCCAATGTTGTTGTAGGTTGCAGCAATATCAGGATGATTTTGAGGAAGAACTGTTTTCTTGATTTCAAGTGCTTGTTCATGAAAAGAAAGTGCTTTTGAATACTCTCTCATACTACAACATACATTGGCTATGTTCATGTACGACGTGGCTAGATCTGGATGGTTTGATGGAAGAGTTATTTTCTTAATTTCGATTGCATCTTCATTGAGTTTGAGCGCCTTCGTGTAGTCACCCATTGCAGAATATACCTGAGCTAGCTGATTGTACGTTTGAGCGAAATACTGATGATTTGGAGGAAGACTTAGCTTTTGGATTTCAAGTGCTTGCTGGTATGATTCAATAGCCATAGAGTACTCTCCCATCTCGAAATAAGCACTACCAATGCTAATGTAGTAACTAGCAAAATTCAGGTGATTTGGCGGTAGAGTTTTTTCGTCAATTTCTTGAGCTTTTTGAAATTGTAAGATTGCAGTTGAATAGTCTTCATTTATAAAATAAGCTTGTCCCAAATGATGAAGGTATACTGCACGCTCACGATCGCTAGATGTTTGGAGGAGAAGCTTTTCACAGAGTTGCTTAGCTTTTGCAAACTCTTTTAATTCCAGAAGTATTTTACCCAAACCGGCCCATCCGCTGTTTTGAATCTCTTGTTCCTTGTATGATATGAATGTGTTCAGCTCCTGATTATCATTTCCAGTTAGACTTAGTTGGACTTCCCAAAGACGATCAGTATGACCATCAGCAATATGCTGAATATCATTAATGCGAAAGATCGTATGTGTGCTGAAAAGTATTTCAGCCTCATCCCCATGAAAAAACCCAACCTCACTCACATCAGCGAATGGAATGTTTGATTTTTCGCACACTTCGGGGTCAATGCTTATCACAAAAAGAATGCCTATTGAATCAGGATTGTCATACACAGCTTGTCGTGCAAATACTTCGAGTGATATATGTCGATTTAAACTTGTCGAGAGAAAGTTATTGAAAGACATCAGTCCACCCCGGGATAGCTTCAGTTTCTGAAATGTGTCCTTGGGTAACCCTTGCCCACGGTACACAGTGAATTTATCCTTGGTCTCCATTTTCAGTAATTGTTGTTCCTTGTGTAGTTTTTCAAGATCTTTATGCAGATGTCGAATAAAAAATCCCATTTCAATAATAATATCAGTATCCATTAATCAAAGGCCGCGGTTTAACATCGAATATAGAAAATAAGGGGTTGTATACCACCAGGTAGGACTATGATCGCGATATTCACGTTGGAATTTATCGATCTCACCTCGATTAATATCATCTTGTTGACGACAATACTCGGCAAAGTCGCTAATGGATTTTTCATCATCGTCTTCAATATCCAAAATCGATCTCTTAAATAACTGTGTGTACATGAATAATGGGTCTATACGGCTAAAACTGACAGAAATCATACTTCGGTCACAGATTTTAATGTCGACTTGTAAAGCATCATATATTTGTTCAACACTTATGAAAACACCCTTAACCTTCGATATTTTATTGGCCCATCGTTCATGTACTGATTTGTTTCTACATAGGACATATATTGACTGCAACTGTGACCATGATTCTATTTGAGGTACGACTTTTTCACCCATATATCCAGAAACGATCATAAATACTTTCTCTTGTTTTATTTCTCTTAAAAAATTTACACATTCTTGAACATTTGTGAACATATTTATTGATGCTACAATATGACGCAGCTTTGAAAAAGATAATTTAAATTCGGTGCCATTTTCATCGAAGTCTGGATATAGCCAAATCAATATAAAATTTTGAATGATTCGTCGTACTGGTCGAGATGGAATCGTTGTGTTATCGCTGGAGTCTGGTTTTGGTGAATCTATTTTATCCATACTTGTTGGGTGACTAAATGTGATTTACCGCTGTCTACCTGTATGCGTGTAATATTTCATTTTTTTTGTTGATTCAGTACTGTCTCCTAAGTTACCAAACGACTGTACGATTTTTTTTCTCGTTCTGTGCTCTATTGCAACCTATCCGAAGAAAGACGTCGATAATTACGGTAGAATTTGTTTTTTCACGAGACAAGCAAGAACAAGCAAAAGAATCGACAGAAGTTTACAAGGTTGTTAGGTACGAATTATGAAGTTTATCAACAACAATGAGTATAGGAATGATCCTTAGTAAGAATCTGCAAGACTTTATGGATAAGAAACCGTTCATTCGCAAGAATAAAACCATCTTATTATGACTATAGCAGCCGTACTGTAGTATCATAATGCTGATCAAATATACAAGCAGTGTGTGTGACGCAAGAGTGATGAAGATAGGGATTTCGTAGATTACGCTTCATTGATTCTCTTCTTTGATATATGGAGAGGAAGGAAGTTCATCTTGCAGCTACAAAGACAACATCCAGCAGTACGTGAAATATGTTGTAGTCTACTGCATCAAATGCAATGATTGTCAACAATTCAACATAGGCAAGACACAAAGACAATGCACCGAACAATTACAAGAACAATGTGCACCAAAACCTTCAACAAAGCAACAACGGTGCACTCAAAACGACAACAACATCGTCGGACTTCGAAGAGCTGATCGTCTGAAGAATAAGCTACCAACAATAGCTTCCCTCTCAATAACAACACTTAATCAAGATGAGGATGAATCAGTCTCTGCGGTGAAACAACATGACTAAGATACCGAACATTATACGGACTGGATAAATTTTCATGTCGTCACTCAAAACAACCATTCTTATCGCTTGCTCATCAGAGAATCATTTTTGATCAAAGCTTATCAGCCGTAACTTAAAAAAACAACGCGATCTGCACCACTAATCGTATACCCTGATGGTCTACCAAAAATGTTCTTCCCGAAGCCGTTTAACAATTATTCTGTGCATTAACCAATTTATTTACTTTTATTTACAAACTTGTTTTCTTCCTCATGTATCCTTAACATATTGAAATCAAACTTGACAATGAGGCCATAGATACATCGAAACGTAAAACATGCAACTGACTTTTTCTTTTTATAATTATTCTACACTGAGAAGCAAAGAAAATGAAACTATTTCAAGCCACTGTTATTCGTCGGTTTCTCATGGAATTATTGCCCTTACAATTATCAAATCATCAGTTTCATTATCAATTGATTGATGATAATGATGGTGACGAAAAACGCATTTGGTGTTTCGTTCGTGATTCATCTGGCATCCAAGTCTACAATACCGCTCTGAATATGTTTAATTTTATTGTGCC